TGCATTAATATTTTTTTGTATCAGAATTACTAGTATGTTCTGAAAGAAGGTTGTAATGTCCTATTTTTCACTTCCAAACACATAATTTCTTCTTATCCACAAGTTTAACCCAATCTCTCTGGTATAATGAGCTTCATAGAACAAGTATGAAAGCTGCATTTGCAATTGCCTGTGGTAAACTAGGGAAGAGCTAAAGTAGGCTGTTTAATAAAACTTGAGTGATTCATTTTAATAAATAGAATTTCAGAATGATGGCTATAATTTATAATATATTAATCAGTTTATTATTGTGCTTTGTGACAATGTTCTTATCACATTCAACATGATTATGGATGACACCGAATATTTAGTCTGGGACATTACACATCTCCCTGTTGTAATGATTCCTGCCAATGCAGAGTGCAAGTATTTATTAATATCCAATATTTTTAAATAGAAGATAAAGAGGGAGAGATTCCAGACACTTTTGTTCCCTGACAAAAGACTTCACTACAATGGTTGACCAAGGACAAAATTTGTCTTAAGGTATGTATGAGCACAATGGAGGGATACAGGAACTTCTCAGTCAATGATTCAGCCCACCTAGAAGGGGTTTATGGTCACAAGCCAGTGTGATACTTGACTGATACACTTCAGTCAGGTGCTTAAAGGTTGATGGTATGAGTCTGAGCTTTGGGCAAGGTATAGATATTACTTATACTATACACATGAGGGTCTGACCATGCAAAATATGTGTTGACTTATTTCTATTTGAATGATACTAGGAATATACAAATACATCCTCTCTAATTTTTTTGCCCCAGGTCTTCTTGTTGTTCCACACCCTCACAAAAATGATGACTTCAGTAGTGTCAATCCCCCGTAAATTATTTTCATAGCATATTTGGGAACATCATGCTCTGTCTGGAAATTATTATTGGCTTTGAGACTTATCTGAGTGAAGACAGGGGCTACCTAGAGATTTTCACTGTATACTTGTCTCTGTTGTTTGCTCTGAAAGTGTCCATGCGTGCTAGAAAGAACATACTGTCCATTCTCTGCATGGAGAGAGAGCAAACAAAGCTGCAGAGCAGAGGAATGATGAATTAATTTAATGAATAGCCACTGCTGGATACCATCATGATTTTGTGTGTTTTTTACATAGAATATCTCACTGAGAAATTTTTCAGTGTAGGATCCAAATGGCCTATTCCCTTACCATACTGGTATATTTAAAAAGCGTTAGCATCCTGATCTATCTACTATGCACTGCAGTTTCTCTCTTTGCACTGTGCCATTCACTTAGTGTAGAGAAATGCCTTTTAACGCTCCTGACAGAATGCCTGTGCTTTCTCATAGCGGCTGCCACATTATACTTAGTTTGATATTTTGGTCTTTGTGCACATCTAAGGTGCCTAATTTTACAGCTGCTGGATTAACCTCTGCGTCCTGAAGTCTTAACCATAAGCAACCCAGCCCAGATGGGAAATTCTTCATCCAGGCAGTCCCCAGTCCAAGCTGCCATCTCCTGTGGAGACCCTTCAGATCTGAGCTTGCCTGATTCCTGCCCCTCTTCTCTGGGTCCCAAAAGGATTTGTCCCATTGCATGAGCAGAGATGTCCACTATAACTTGCATCCACAGTTCTCTACCATGAGGTAAACATACTTTCATCCACACAGGATTGTGGAGAGCTTGTCATTTTTCATTTAACAACAAACATATGTGCAGTTTTGCTCGTGTTGACTCATCTAAGTTTAACTCATTTAAGTTGACTCATTTAAGTTCTTTACAAGGAGAGTGGTTAGGTCCTGGAACGGGCTGCCCAGGGAGGTTGTGGATGCCCCGTCCTTGGACGTGTTCAAGGCCAGGTTGGACGGGGTCCTGGGCAACCTGATCTAAATGTGTATGTTTGGTGGCCCTGCTAGGCAGGGGGGTTGGAACTACATGATCCTTGAGGTCCCTTCCAACTCGGGTGATTCTGTGATTCTGTGATCTGTGATCTAGGGAAACCTATATTTGTTTGATAATGTAAAGCTTTCAAATGCCTCTATATGTGCTAGCATGGTGTGCCAGGGCAGGAGAGCTGGCCACCATCACTCCTCAATTCAGGATCACAGGCTGAAAGGCAGGAGGAGTTCTCATGAAGCTGTCTGGGTTGTATTAGATTGCAGCCAGCAGGTCAAGGAAAGAGAAGAGATTATTCTGTTCTATCTGGAACTTCTGAAAATATGTCTCAGTTCTGGGCCTCCCAGTTCAAGAAAGATGTTGGCAAACTGGAAGGAAGTGTACCAGGATGGTGGTGGACTGCAGGGCCTGCAAAGAGATGCTGAAGGAACTATGCTTGTTCAGCTTGAAGAAGTCTGTATTAATCCTGTATAAACCACTTCACAGGGATATGGGGAAGACAGAGTCAGGCTGTCCATGGAGTCAGAGAGGTACTAACACAGAAAGTTTATAGTAGGATTAGCAATACGTGGGTTGTTTCTGACTGTGACCTCAAGCATATGTTATAGCTCCCAAGGAGAGGTAAGGAAAAAAAGCAGGCAAAGGGATAGGGCACAACTTTTATCAGACAAGTGACTTAGTTGGAAAAAAATGAGGAAGTCCATTCTAACAGGCATTTGTCTAGTCTTTCTTTGAACGTGTTTGTATTTACCGTGGTTTAGCAGTTTATGTTTCAGTAGTTGTAACATTAGGACTCAACAAGCTTTATAAAACACACGAAAAGAAGCCACCAATAACTTAGTTTCAACAGGCATATTTAGGGTCCTATGACTAGATTTCTTTTTATTAAAGTAACAACATATTCATTAAATTAGATGAGATTAAAATCAGTTAATGAAAACAATCAGAATTCCCTTTTATTAGCTGACTCTGCAGGAGAGCAATATAGTTATTTGTACTGTCTGAGCAGCATATAACACTTTGCACAACTAAATGATGTTACTTTTACCCTGGAAGCAGTCAGCTCTTTAGAATAAATCAGGATGGGATATCACTCTTAAAAAAGATTATATTTACATAGATCACTCCAAAAGTAATGCCTGCTATTTATTTCTATGGAAAATACGAACTGTCAATGTATCTGCCCAAAATAAAACATGCAGACAAATTCTCATCACCTCAGAATAAGATGTCTCTATGTCCTTCATGGATCTAATTCACCTGAAAAACAAGTAATGTATTGCATCCGTTTCACTTGAACATTATAGAGATAAATATCTCCAAGGTTAAGATGCAAAGTAGTGTACAGGTCCTCAAGGAAAACTGGCTGTCATTTATCCACTGCTATTTAATGAATGAGATATAGTAAAGGCAAATTAAAAAGATCAAAATATAAAAAGGGTTAAAGAGATCAGAAACATACTCTGTATGAAACATTTTCGTTTTTACTTTTTTTTTTTTCTGTTGGAACTTCATATCCAGAAAAGCTTTGTCTCTGTCAGTACTACATACTTCTATTGATAGTGTTCCTTACCCCATGGTAGTCAATTTTTGTAATGCTTTATTAATTTATATAAAAAACAATAAGTAAAATCACCAGAAGACTTACAGCACTGATTCATGTTATTGTTATTGCTCATTATTATCATTTGTCATATGAGACAATGCCTGGCTTTGCATTTTTCCCCCTTTAAAAAGAGAAATCTGGCTCAGCTCTGAAGGCTCTAAACTGTTTTTTATACCAGCTGAAAGATGTTTATTACATTGTCATGTTTTCATATCCCTCCTGCTACCTTGTGAAGAACATACTTTTGCTCTGACCTAAGTGTGAAAATTCTGCAAGGTTTTGCTCTCTCTGATCAAGCCATCGATCCAGTGAGCTCAGCAGCATCATGTGATGACACTCAGTATCTGACCCAGCAGATTGTCCTCTACCTTTCAGTGCTGCACCTAAGCATGAGAGGCTCTGCATGGGGAAGGTTTCATTCCAACTTTGAGTCCTAATTCATGAAATTTGCTGAGTTTTGAGCTCTATTCTTTACTAAAAAATTGAATTACAAATAGTTCAATATTGCCTATCTTTATAGTTGTTAGCACAGTAGCATTTGACCAAGGGGACAAGTTGTAGGAGACATATGCAATAGCTAAAAATAACAACAATAGAGTAACAGTAATGACATCCCTACTTCCATATTGCAGCTGCAGTGAATATATGCAGAACCTTGGCTGAGAGACTTTCCAGGCACTTAGGAGAGCATTCTGGACTCCTGTGCCTCGCTGACTCCACAGGTTGATGGCAAGAACGTTGCCAAGTGTCTTCCTGAATACAAATAGAAATCAAAGAAAGTTCACCTTATGAGAACTTATACTCTGTGACTGTGGTCTGTATCTGAAAGCCTAACAAGCTCTGCCTTTTGTACCCAACATCTGGAGATGTGCATGTTTCCTCTGAGTTCTGCATCTTGGTCTGACAAATTGCATTGCCTTCTCCTAACAATCTTGTGCTGTCGGGACTGTCTATGACTTGGATAACCAGTGGGATGTAGTAAAAAATACACTTCAGTTTCGTTATGGCATGAAAACCTTTCAGATAGTCTGCCTGGCTTTGCAGTGATGTCAATATTTATTGCCACTGTCACAGACCCATGAAGATTACACAGACTTGGTGACGATGTTGCACTTGTGGTTCATGTAGGGTTATATAAAACACACTCCTTCTGCTTTTGAATATAAGTGAAATTGCGTCATAACTGGTGCCAGCAAGTCGGGTTTTTCAGTCACTCAAAATACTGTTGGGAAAGGAAGGGAACTTGTGACAGACATATCTGATCACCTGCTTCCTGCTCCACAGATCCTGCTGGGTATGGTCCTCAGAGGGGCCATTCTAATGCTGTAGTCCCACAGCTCCCTTGAGTCAACATAGGCAAATGCTGATGCTAAAAAAGGCAGTGCCAGCTTCCCACAGACCCAATCACAGTTTTTACTTTCTTTGTTTCCCCAGGGACTGCAAATAGCCATAAATACATAGGAGAGGAAAAAAAGAGCACAGTTTTAGCCCATCGCATAGCCTTGTTCCCCCTCATTATGTGACTGCACAAACATCTGGAAGAAGGGAGAGAGAAATGCCAGGGGCAGTAAGTAGGCACAGGTGAAGACTGAAAGGTAAGCCAGCACTACTCTTTCCAATTTAAACTGAATGTGGAAGTCACAAGAGCCCTTGTATTATGTTCTCTCAGGGTGGTTGTGCAAAAGCAGGAGGCAGATGTCCCTGGTTCATTACACCCATGTTAGGGATACAGGATGAAACCAAATTTCAGCTTCCAGAATAATGCTGTCAGAAATACTTAAGCTAGTCTAAACATAGCTGACGTGCCCTTCACTTACAAAGTGCTTCACATTACCCACAATGATGTCTAAAATCAAGTACTGATAATTTCAAATGAAACATAACCTTATCAAGTTGCTCTTTTAAATCAAAATAATTCTCATCTTAAAAAAAAAAAAAAGAAAATCTCTTGCTTTATAAAAAGTTTTTATGCTTCAGAAAATGATATTGAGAATAATATTTCTTAACAGTGATCTTATAACAGCACTACGTACAACAACTAGTTCAAAAAAATTGTTTGACTGAACTACAATATTTTGGCACTGTGACTAATGGAGTTCACTGCCTTTTCAATTAATGAAAGTTTGATTCTTTTAGCAATTTCACTATGATTAGATCACAGCAAGAACCTTTTCCATTCCTCATCCCTCTCACTGTTATCAAAAGGCTTTTATTGTTGGCTTTTAGCCTGCCTTTAACTCTAAAGTAAAAGTTTATCAAAATTCTTGCTGAGAACAGCTCAGAAAAATTGATTTTATCAGTGGCAAAACTTTGCTGATACAGGCAAATCCAAGAACTAATACTACTAACCACTGAATCATCACCACCACCACAACTACCTCATGCTTTTGGCTTTATTTTAAAAACTGTGATTGTGGTTTTTCAAGGACTAGTAAGAGTTAATATCAAAAATTGGGACAAAAATGTAATTGCTTATGACAAAATATTAGAAAATAGCCGGAAGAATCTTTTCATAGCCCAAGTAATCAACCTTCTACATCAAGGTAGGATAATTGTCAATCAAGCTTTCAATTCGAACACAGCTGCTAAAAATCAGAGAGAAGTAAAGCCAGGCACTTCACTGCAGTTTAAGCACTGAGCTCAGAAAGAGAGTACAGTATTACTGGCAGTAGTTGAGAACCTGTAATAACTCCATGCAGTTATAAAAGCAATCAGAAAATAAGTCTGTTTTGGAAAGTTTTGTTTTACTGAAGCTGAAAACGTGTGTATTCATCTTTCTGGTTAAAATGGTACTTAATGAGAAAAAGAGAGAAAAATGAGTCTTTTTCTCTCTCTCTCTCTCTTTTTTTTTTTTTTTTTTTTTTTTTTTAATTTATTGAAGGAAAAAGGCAGTTCTTGATTTCCAATAGCAATTAACATTTCTTTTAATCAAATCGTATAGTAAAAGCCTTTTCCAGGCTTAGTAGACTGAATAAACTTGGCTCAGAAGTCTATGAGCGCACTGCAATGATGCTCACCATTTCAGCATATATCTATATTTTTTTACTTTGCACATGTCTACTGGTTGTAATTTAGAATTACATATATGAGTACTGATAGAACACAGATGTGTTTCTATATTGCTTTTGTGAACTGTCACCAGTAGTTTATATGTCTTTTTTTTTTCCTCCTAGGTTAATATGTGTCTAGTAGAAGTTTTATAATCTGCTCTGAGTACTTACTGTTAAGCAGAATTTGAATAAAAATCTGGAAACCAACAGTTATCACAAGAAACTAATTTTTACTTTTATGTGCTGTGCTTTCATACACCATTATCATTTCTTATATCATTGTGTAATTTTGCTCAAATATTGATTAGTAATTTCGTAAATCTGAAAAACACAATTCCCAGGTGATGACCATGACCCTAGAAAAAGTTTTGAGAAAACAACCTCATTACGAGACGTACCTTGCAATAGATGTTTGTTTAAGTGGAAATCCACCAGAGCAGCTGCCCAGTGCAACGGTACATATTTGCTTCTGAATCCTTTCTCAAAGGCACTATTTAAACATGTTGATGAACTGGGCTGGATTTATCCCCACCTCCATTCCAGCAAAACAAGGAGACTCAGAAGATAAAATTTGTTTTGTTATTGCAAGTAGTGCTCCATGGTAAGTGAGAAATTTGTTTTCTATGATTCTATTGAAATAGGAATGTGAAAAGTTTCCATATTCCTGTGCAGATGCAATGTCTGTGTGTACTGCTGCTAAGTCACATTTAAATTTGAAAATGAATGTACTTCTATTTCTAGAAGTGTTTGTATATAGAGATCCTACTTGTCCATATTTGGCTTGGTGTTAAAGATCTGGCTACTCTAGCTTCCCCATTTTGGAAAGAAGGAAATAAGAATTACTGTGTAGAGAATATCATTTTAATTCAAGATATACAACTTGTTTCAGATCTGGTTATGATTTTTAAACTGTGAATAAGTGACATTAATACTGAGAATTTTATGATGTGTACAGCTGTACTACCCATCACTTAACTACACATAGCATCCTTAGCAGTAACTTGTAATAACTGAAAATTTTCAGTCACCCCCGTTCTGGACTTAGTTCAGCACTGTGACCTAGAGGGGAAAGTTTGCAACTCCTGAGCCAGTCACACTTTACACTTCCTTTCTGGGCTCTGTTTTAGCTTTTCTTCTGCCAATGTCTGCAAGGGAATCACTTCAGCCTGTCAGCACCTAACTTTAATTAGCTGGAGAAGTTTCTCATTCTTGGAGCTACTTTCTGCAGCAATTCTAGAAATTCCACAGAAAGGAGTCAGGATTGAGAAAAAGGCAGACCATGAATACATGATGGAGAGGTGGTGTCATTCCTCCTTCCCTCCACCCCTGGCCAAAGATGTAAGTTGTCAGGAGGGGCTGCATCCAATGTCTCCTCTACTGCTGTTGGCAGCATTCGTGCATGTGACCAAATTCACTTTGGCATGGAAGAAGATTAGAGCTAACAAAATGGTACATTAAGTGCCACAAAAACAAAACTGCTCAGGGCAGAGATGATGTTTTTGTAATAAAATAGAAACAGAGTACAAGATGAATCATGTTGTGTTAAGATGTGTGAGAGTTCTTTGACACCTCTATCGAACCAAACTGGAAGTGTCCATCAGCTGCTTACTTTTTTATTTGCTTTGTGTCTTCACCTACACTGTCAGTGGAGAGTAAATTGTGAAGTAGAAACATGGACTGAATCCTGAAATAATCATTTAAACTAAACTCTTACTACTGGCAAAGGAATGTCTATCTGAGTAACCCATCATACCTTACTGTTTTTACTGCAAAAGTGAAAAAAATACTGAAAATAAAAACAAAAACAAAACAAACAAAAAAACAAAAAAACATATTTCTACTTCATCCAGCAATTTTGTTCCGCTAATCAGAACATTGCATATAAATCTGATTTGAAAGAAGGGTAAAACTATGCCTCTTGACAGGACTTGTGTGCGGGGGGGGGTCAGAACCAAGGGGCTGTTCCTTTAAATTTCAATATTTTCTTTCACATTTTAGCAGAATTTTCTGGTTATTATTTATTTATTTTTAATTAACTTATGCTTTTTCTCCTTTTTTTTTTTTAAATGCCTTTAAGATTTATTTCTGAAATATTACTTTTAAATTTTCCAGTGTAATTTCTGGATAAATAAAAGAAAAATATCAGAAAATGGGCTATCGTAGGAATCAGTTGTTCTATCGTTAAGGTCACAAATTGCTAAAAAAAAAAAAAAAACAAACAGGAATATTGTGTATTTTTTGATGCAGTGTTATGAAAATGTCTTTAAAAAAATAAAAAAAAAGCACAATACTTTGAGGCAAAATAGACATTTTTTGCAGTTTTTATGTTTTTTAGAGAAACTGGTCATGGTAGTTATGAAATCCAAACCATCAAATGTATAACAGATAGCAATCTTGACTGTTACTGCCTGCAAAACTCACCAATGGCAATGGCGTGATACTTTAAGTCCCAATTTTTAGTTCTGGTGATAGAAAAAGTGTAATGATAATTTTCTCCCTATTTCACAATGATTTTGTGAAATTCAGTTAGTGCCTGTAGAATGTTTTGATTGGTTAAAGTCTATGAGTACTTCTATGAATACTCATCTTTTGATTGCACGTCTGAACTTAATCTGCTTAAATTTTCTTAATATATTTCCTAAGAGCATAAATCTTAATTTTTTTACACCTTCCCTCAAAATCTGAACGCTAACCTATGATATAGTCTATCAGCTGATATCTTACAAAGGTCTGTGTGTTCCATGATTTGAAAGAGAATATCACAATATTGCCAAGATAGTGAATCTTCCCCTTCTCTGAACTATACATACGTGGATAATACTGCTGATTTTTTTATATGACTAATATTATCAGGTTGTGGTTCTGAATTTTTGCGTTCTGGTACTAGCAGTTTATAGCAGCAGGCTACAATCATGTCAAATTATGTACTAAGAGTGTCTGTTGCATGACTTTCAAGATCTAGATTCTGTGACCCAATGGTATGCTATAAGATTTGTGGTAAATATGTATGTATGATGTTGAATTTACAGATTTACCTAATTTTCTGTTGTAAGAATAGAGAAAGTAACAACAAGTCTTGCAAACCATTGAGGTTCACTAAGAAGTGCTAGATTTATAACAGAAGAAAAGTTATGAAAATGTTTGGTTAAATTCATAGTGATCCATTATGCCTCAGAAAAGTGGTACATAAAGTAACCAATATCACACTGGAATGACTTTCTAAGAAGAGATCTGGATTTCTCTCCATCTTTTGTAGGTTTTAGACATTATAGCGAACATCTTTGCCATCTCAAGGATATACACAGAATGTTTCTGCTTGATATTTTCTGTGAGGAGACCAGGAAATTGAGGAGAGGTCAGGGAGCTGCTGACCTCTCTACCAGATGATGGAGCTATGCTTATGGAGCACATTTATGCATCACACATGGTATTTGTTGCTTTTCTCAAGACAGCACAAGGCTACTTTTTTGTAGCCACCTATTTGAAAAACTCATACGTGTCTTATCATGAATGAGATTGGCTGCAGTGCTATACTCTGCTGGTATTATATGGAGTTTCACCCTTGGGGACTGAAAACCTTTCCACTAAAGATCACCAGTCCTCTCCTTCTAGTCTTTTTTTCTATAGTTTTATACACACAAGTGAAAGAAAGTGACAAATATGCTGACTTAATATCAGAGGAATTTCTTGGACATCGATGAATAAGCCTAAAGGGTCACCACCCAAAAACACCATCAAAATTACTTCAAGGATTATTCCTATGACTCCATTTTATATGAACAGACTTTGTTTGTGCTGGGTAACACCCAGCTTCTAAGTCTAGTTAAGGTAGTATCTGAAGCACATCTGTTGTGGTTTTATGACTTGACCCTTATGAATCAGAGTAAGAACTTTGGTTTTCAGAAACTCTCATTTATTTGATTTATTAGCTTCAATCCCAATGTACTTATATTTTTGCTATTATAATTTGTAAACCACATTTGCTTTCTTCCTCAGATCATTGCTGCTGTTTTTTTTTTCTTTTCCCTTTTGTTCACTTTCCCTGCTTTTTGGGCTGGTGGACTTCTGGGCCTGCTGTCCCTCTGTCACAGACACAGATCTAGAGATAAAACTGTGGCATTCCATTTCTCTCTTTCTGAATTTGGAAGTAAATTCTTAAAAAATATCCTCCCCTTCTTACCAGCTAATGATGCACATTTATGGTCTGTTTGAACTTCTTCATCCAACCTTCCTAACTTATGGGAAGGAGGTGTTTGTTTAGCCTCACTGTTCAGCCAATCCAGTAATGAGTATCCACTCTACAGGCTGTCATGAAGTACAGAATAAACTGTTCTACTTAAACTTATACTCTTCATAATGTCAACATACAAACATATATGAAAATTCCTGTATATTCCTGATTTTACAGGCAAGTTGGAAAAGACTTTTTTTTGTCTTTTTTGACTTTTCCACCAATACTTAATCCCTGCAATTCCAAACAAAAATGGATGCGTACCAAAAATAGTTTTGATTCAAAGATAGTTTTGTTTCAAAAACATTGTTAGATATGAGACAATTTTGATGAAAGTAGACATTTCCTACCAAAGTTATTTTAGTTAAACTCACAAAATGGAAACATTTAATTATTTCAACATACAAATTTATACAAATGCATAACGTAGGAGTTATTCTGACACGCATGTGGGAATCTCAGAGAGAAAAACCTTCTCAGAAAGTTACTTACTATTTTTCAAAGTAAACTATTAGAAAAACAAATACAGGACAAAAAGTTAAACATATTTTATTACTTCCAGCAATACATTTCTTTCTTCTGTGTTATTCTGGAGACAAACTCAAATAAAATTCCTCAGGAAGAATACACTGGAGTCTACAAGTTAAATTTCTGATGCAATTCAGTTAAATTGAGCCTTTAAATACGTGAACTAAAGACCTGATTCTTCTTTAAACAAAAGTCTCTTTATACCACTCTGACAGTACAGAAGGGCTGTAAAACAAGTAGTGCAATGAATGCCTGACTAAATGCCTACTGGCACAGACTGGCACAATGAAATGAAAATTAACCTCCCCAATTTTTTATAGTATTTTTATAGGTGGAAAATGTTATGACTGTCACGGAAATCACTAACAACAAAAGAATAGAAACAAACTCACTAATTTTTATTTCATTTTTATGACAGAAGATTTCAGAAATTGATTGAAGCTGTGAAAAAATAAAATAGATGAGTGCAAAGGCTTCTGTGGATTTTGCCTAGGAATAGTTTTCTTTCTTTTTGGAGAAGTTGCAACATGAAAATAAGTATTTATGATAGAAATGCTGACATAACATTACTAATAGCACCTCTACTAGAGATTGTTACAATGTGTATTTACTCAGGTGCAGCATTAAATAAGAGATGTGAACTCACCATAGCAACTCCTGCATCACATTGCAGATATGCTGCTTCTAAGATACGGCAAATGTTTCTGAAGAAATGTACCTGAATTTGAGGTAAACATCCATCAATTTCAAATTATTTTTCAAAATACTTTGCTATACAGTATAACAAAAAGTGATGTAGCTTGGCATTACATAAATTACTGATTTATGACTGGACTTTGCCTTTTGCTGTCCAATGATTATTGCCTCAAAATGTAATTTTAGGCAGCTGCCCAATCTCTGCGAGCAAAATAGTGGCAAGAGCTCTACCGAGCTTCTCCAGAATGTCCCTATGAATTCTTAACCAGGAGTCTCGTCCTTTTTAGGCCTCCTTCTGGTGTCTCTCCACAAATACTACTGTTCACCACAAGAGCTCCAACGGAATTATATGAATTCATCCAAAGTGGGAAATAGGTTTTCTGCTGAACTGTTTTGCAGCTCAATTTTAAATTTACAACTGTTTTCCCTTTAGTATCTATTCAGTTTGAATTTTATTCTCTAATATGTGTTTGTATTGTTTGACCTTACTTAGACTGAATTTGCATCCTATACATGAGCGAAATGTCTTGTTTGTTTGTTTGTTTGCTTGTTCATTTAAATGTTTAATCCTTTTAGTGAGTCTCCTATAGCTGATAAAATCTTTTCCTGTGTTGAGTTTAATTTTGGCGCTTTTACTTTGGAGGCCTTTTCTTTAATGCATCCAGTATTACTTATATCTTAATAAAAGCTTTTAGATTGCTACTGATGCATCACCAACTTCATCTTGACCAAAATTCTTGCTAGCATGCCTGTTTATATGGATCAAAAAAGCAAGATTTTCATGATGTCTGGTGGGTTAGCATGCCTGCTGCAAGGCAGCTTTTGCAGTCAGTTCTTCCATGTACTTTACCCAACAATCCATAACAGCCTGCTTCTGGAAGGAGAAGTAAGTAATCACAACTGCTTTGATCTTTTTTTGATATCAATTAACTGTAATTTCTCTTCCCAGATCTCACTTGTACAGGGGATCACACATTTTCTCACATCATCTAAGATTGATTAAGAAGATTAATAATATTCTTTTTTTTCTTTTTCTTTCTTCTCTTTTTCTTTCTCCTGCATTTATTTCTGTAGGTTCTTCTGTTACTGCTAGCGAGTTTTCCTGGGAGACACATGAAACATTTTTAATCAGTTGGTTATGTGCTCAAGGGCTAAAGGCTTCTTTCCCCTCTGTTTTCTAGCCCATGGGGACTAAGTGGAGGAGGAGGAGACAGAGCAGATTGCTAGTTCTACTAAGTTACTACTCATATAAAGGCTTATCTGGTTATCTTTTCTTGCTTCTTCTCCTAAGACTACTTTAGCCTCCTTGCACTAAAAAAACTAACTAATTTGTTAGTGAACAGGATATCTGAAGACATCTACTCTTTTTCTGGAGAAAAGATTACACAGGGTGTTGTTCAAAATAGTGGCTCACAGTGGATACAAAAATGCTTTGCATTTGTGATTGTTGATGGCCAACATGGCCAACACAGTAAGATGAACCATAATGTACCTAGATGCCAATTGTCAATAGAAACACAGAGCATTATACCTACAGATTTCTTCTACAGAATATCACAAAACTAATAAAAACTAAGAGTGTTGCATGAATTGTCTGTGGGCTTTACCTCTGAATTTTTATCCAATGTAATCAACAGTAGCACTTGCTTTCTACACTTCATGGAAGAAAGCACTGTACTTCATGAAAAACATCAACAACACCTGGGCACTGAAATATTGCTTCAGCTCCAACGTCAGTTGAAGGCCAAATGAGAGATCTCTGCAACCCCACAATCTCTGCAATCTCTGCAAAAGATGTTACTGCAAAATATGTAGGTATCTTCAGTATACTGAAATTTCTCTGAAATGTCCAAGTTCAGAAAAGCAAATACAGTATGATCCAGCAGTTATTGTTCAGACGTACTCTAGATTTATGCCCTCTATTTAATATTCTGAACTCTGTGTTAGAAATATTTTAGTCTCAGATATTAATAGTGAAAAATCTTGAGCTATGTTAAAACAAATTAATTTGTTAAAATATCAGTTATCAGTCTATGAAGATGTCATTGTTTTTGCCAGAAAAAAAATAATGTGAAAATCGAGCAACCATTGTAGTGCTCTGAAACAGCTTCAGTGACAGAGACATAATTAAATAAATCTAAAAAAGAAAAATTAAAACAGATATTAATATGCAAAAGTTCTATATTCTTTAATAATTATTTAAAAGAATTCTACTAAGCAGTATAACCTATTTTTTGGCAATATTCTCAAAATATAACTTTTAAGAAACCAGGATTTTCCTAAATGTAGAAGTTATGAAAAGAATTGTTTGAAACAGGCTCAGACACATTACTCTTTAATAATTCCAGTTTCTGGTTTGTGAGATGTGAGGTAGGAGTAAGAATAGGAGTATATCCTTGGATAAAGTGCCCTTGCTATTACTGAGAAATACGTGCCAACAGACACAGATTAGGGTTGAAATGGTGTTGCCCCCAGATTACTGAAATTTATGTCTTTGAATGTACGTTCTTTTTCATGCTCAAAGTTGCTTTTTCTATGCTCAGAAATCATAGACTTGTGTGAACTATCAGACTTCATACATATATATATATATGAATGAGAATGAAAAAGTTTACTATCATGGAACATAGTTTTAATAACTTCCTTATGGCTAAAACTGATTTTTAGCTTACTGATGAATGTTTATCACTGCCTTATTTTACCAATAGCTTTCGATTATTTTGAATTTCTAGACTTCTAATGATTTAGAAAATAAATAGGAACTGTTTAGTGAAGTTTATTTTATTGTCAAAATTCTTGTTTTTATATACCTCAGAAACCAAGTTAAAAGTTTAAACTACTGCTGCATTCCATGAAGCCCTTGCTGCCATACTGGATCTCCCAATCTTTGCCTGTTTGCTTACCAGTGAACTACCCATTATTTTGACATGCTCCTTCATTTGTCCTGAGAATTCATGACATTTCAAAGTAGGAAAATTCAGGAAGGTCTTCTCCCATGGTACAGAAATGTAAAAACCTGAAGTATAATGAAAATATTTTTAGTAACAAAATTGGAGATTTAGTTAATGGCTCTAAGTGTATATGCATACATGTATATGTATACACACAAAATAAACGAACATATTTCTTCACCAAAGATGCTTAAAAATCTTATGTAGAAATCTCCTCATGAAGCGCATCCACCTCAAATATAAATTATTTCAATTACAGCACTGTTTCCCTACTGTATTTTCTATTTTCTTTCTCTCATGGAGCATTATTTATGTTCACAGTAACTGATGATCCACAGCAACAGAAGGGATGATTCCCAGCAATACTGTGTGTTCCACGCCCCAGACCCAAGCAGCCTTGACCATGGCTCGTAAGCCTATCTCTCCCCTACCTTAGGACCTGGGTGCTTCTGGTTGTAGCTCAACTCTCCATATGACCCAGAAATCTGCCCTCTGAAGACCCCAGAGGGATGGATGCCTTTCCTCCCAGAAGTACTGCACTAAGATGCATTTAACCTCTGATTATTACTGTTAGTGGGTATAACACTTGCTGCTATACTGATAGAGAAGCACCACTGAAGGGTGCCTATGCCAGGATTTACAGCGCACTTTCCAGCTAATTTTCTTTGAGATGCTCATGATGCTCAGTTTTGACTGTGCTGTTGGCCAGCCTAGGGATAATGTAAACCATGTTCCCATGGTCATACAATGTATTGCAGAGCAACCTAGCTGTGCCTTAGCTTCCCATCTTCTCCAACCCTCCTTTCCAAGCAATAATACCTCTGCTATGATTTCCCTGTATTGACTTGAGGTCCTTCTGTTAACAGTCATGGGGGTATATCTGTGCTGTTACTCGTCCTTGTCAACTTAAATCACTAAACCCTCAACAACCCGTATCTAAGTGAGCCAAAGGTTTGCTTATATGGCTATCCAAACAAGTGTGACAGAAGTGTGCCATTTTCTGTAACCAGTGACAGACAGAGGTGGGACATGACGAGCAACGCGCTCGGCTCCCTTTGAATCCATGACCTGAATAGACAAGGTTCTATTTATAACTGGATTTATTAAAAATGGGATTTGGCATGAGCACAGGCTTTCACTTGGACTTTGATCTCTGATCTGAAGGGGAGGTCTCAGTCTCAACCTCTTCCCCGCATGAAACGGCAGCCACAACAGTGAGCCATGGAAATATCACGTCTCACTATTCATATTGGTATAGATATTCATTGGGTACACCATGTCATTAAAAATCAAGTCACATCCCTCTGCCTTATTAACTTTGCCTCACAAGAGTTTATTTCTTCTTCACTTTTCTTCCACCTGCTTTACTTCTGATTGAAAGAATCTGTTCCAAATATCATGAAATGTCATTAAAAATTACTGTTTTAAACTGCTTAAATTTTTATTTTCCTTAACATCTCATTTCTAGTTTTCTTTTTAAAGAAAAGTTGGTGTCATCTTTGTAAAAATTAAGTGTCAGAATTTACGTGGCTTAGAGAAATACCACAAAACTTCCACTGTTACCTTCTTAGATTTATGGACAAGATGACAATTTTTTTCTGGTTCTGTGTTTTTGTGGTGCTTTCATTTAAAATGTTTGAAAAAGAATGATTATTTCCCTTTTGTGGTAAACATTTCTTTTTGACATCACATAGTAATTCCTTATCAGTGGACTTTGAAATTAATGAGCCTTAGAAATGGATATAGTATTGTATAGCTTACTGCTGAGTATAAAATTCATACCAGTCAAGGGAATGGAACACACTGTGTCCTGGACAGATATAGGAAAACAGCTAAACCTGTCCCATTAACTTACTGATACAAATGGTCCATTTTAAATATTGTACTTCAAAGTCATATCTGTCAATTCATATTTCTTCCCCTACTTCTTTTTCTTTAAAATTTTACTTTCAACTATTTGATTTAAGGGAAAAAAGAGATCAAATTCTCTTCATTTATCTTTTTACTGGAAATATTTTGGATAAGTTCTTTTTGCTCTTGTTTTCCCTGCCGGTGCAGTAATTTTTGCATAGACTATCATTATGGATATATTTTACAATGTAGTAATGGGTAACACAACACAAGCACATCCATTCTCTTAATTAAATGAGCTATAGCTCTTTGGCTGAAGCAAACAATAATATTATTTATAACTCAAATTACATTACATAAAGTGTGCTCTCATCTATAAAGAGATGACATGGTAGGGTTCCGTGTTTGCTTTATTACTATTTTTTTTCTTCCCAATGAGTTTCTTGTAGACCTCTCTTAATTTACAAATAAAACCATGACTTTTGTGATTACCAGCAATGAAAATCCATCCAGAGATCTTAGATCAAGCTGTGTTTTTTCTGGTTTATGCCAAAATAGACTCCGGTTCACCTCCTCAGTGCTGAGGTGGCTCTTGGAGGGCTGGTGGGAACAAAAAGCAATAACAGTGCTTTTGCCAGTAAAAAGATGAAGTGAACAAATTCTTTCAGAAGTAGGAAGACACCAGTTTTCAAGTCAGCTTTATAGAAAACAGCCGTTGTTTGAAACAAATGCTCATAGCAGGGTTGGGTGGAAAGGTCAATTGCTTGATGTTCCTCTGCAGCCTTCCCTCATTTCTGCTCCCTTTTGATCATTCCAGCTCAGCATGCAGTGATTCCTGAAGCTAAGCAGCTTGTGGTTTGGTTGCACAGCCTTTTTCCCTGGTGGAAGTGCTGGACTCATGTGTTTCTGCCCTCTCCTAATTGCTGGCATGATTATACTTGTGTTGATACAACTGTGTCTGGGGCTGCTCCATGCATTTGATGGAACTGATTTTTGTGGCAGCTCTTGGGCTCATTGCTTTGGAGCCAAGTCCCCAAGACACACTGGCAATTCTATCTTGCTCACCTTCCATTGGCTTTTCTTCTTGCTTCAGGATTTGTGGGATATCAGGTGAAATCTAAGGAAAGCAGTTTCCCAATTATTTTTCTCAAATCCCAACTGAAGATGGAATTGTGCTCAGTTCTTCTCACTTAGCTGTAAAACCCTTCAAAATTGTATGGTTTTTTTGGTGTTGTTGTTGCTCGTTGTTTCTTTTCTCTCTCTCTCTCTTTTTTTTTTTTTTTTTTTTTTTTTTTTAAGTTACTCTCCCACATCATAATTGGCAAATTATACCTTTGCTCTGTCTGATGGAAATACCATGCTTTGGAATGATCTATGAAGGCTGAATTCCGCCATGCTGATGGAGTGCCTACCTTCCTTTGGGAACTTGGCATCCCAGTAGGACCCAGACGCAGGACCTAATGCTCTCCAGCCATGGACCCATGATGGGAGAGAGGCTCCTCCTTGCTCAGCACAGGGCAAAGAAGTGTGGACATAGCACAGCCTTTTTAAAATCTGCAATTTAATGGGACCTGGACAGAAGTGAACACATTTACAGTAAACATATCATCTCTTTTTACCTCTGAGATCAATGTAATTTATGTATTATGGCATCTGTTATGTAAGATCTGTTGCAAGAACTTGTGATATCTGATGGATAAGGGGCAAAGACTAAGTCTAATTTTGAATATTCGAGGTTTAGTGCATTCTGTGGTAACCTTCTCCCAGGTTTATTGCTCTGCTTATACAATTGCAGATGATCTCTTTCTTAGATTCATGGCAAAGGGGTAGTCACTAATTGCCCTGAGGCTTCAAGCTCTGTATGTTAGTAACTGTACAGGTGTAATCAAAGGATACTCCTTAGGTCTAAGTGCCAAAATTCAAATGCTTACAGACCAATGTCCTTTTGATTAGGATGAACTGCACCTTTACCTCATTAGAGGCAATCTTTGCATTATATGAGTTGTGAGTCATCTAAATTAGAACGATCCTCAGAATCAAAATTCTCTCCTTAGCTTGATTTTTAATATTCATATTACATCAGTGCCCATTTTGACATCATACAAACTAGTTAGTGATCAGCAAGCTTAATCCGGTTCATTTGATTCACATGAGTTGTCTCATGGGAGTTAACTGAAGCACTAATAAGAATGATATAAACAGGGTTACTTAATTCTTGCCTAGACAACGTTAGATCGTTTGATTAGATTCTTTTATTCCCTTCAAGGCCACCAAAAGAACAAATTAACAAAGACTTACAAATATCTAGTTTGATCTACAATCAAATTTACAAACCACATACATTTCAAGGGAGAAAAATAAAAAGGCTTTTTAACATGAAGAGCTTAGTGCTCTTAATGACAGAATGAGGACAGAAAAATACTAGTAGATTAGTATAATTAATTAGGCAACTTAAAAAAATATGAAAATTGCATTCATAAGGGAGTAAATTCTGCATATTAATTGAATATTTTGCATGTATTATTTGCAAATGTATATTTTTCCTCAGGAAAAATAAATGCATGCTTATTTAGTTAAAAGATGCATCTAAATATGTACATAAAACCGTTCAGAACAGATTGAAGGACACCAGAAAAATCGATTGTAACATTTCCTGACTTCTTATTTATTGACATGGCAATTCACGTTTTTATTATTTTAATCTTTCTTTCCAGGTGAAATGCAGTTTGGGAAGACAGATAATAACACTCAATTTCTACTCGTCATTTTACTGATAGATAGTCTAGAGGAGGTAATTTTTCTATTAGTATAAATATATATTGCATAAAGAAAGCTTTATGAAAGAATGTTAAGGTTTGTGGAGTAATCTCTCTACATCAAAGAACACTTCTAGAAAGGATTGCACCTGGAAGCATGAACTTTGTGAAAAACCTGACTAACAATCATATCATGATGGTTATTGGTCAACATAGAACATGCAAAACCTTCCTCTCCTCTCCTCTCCTCTCCTCTCCTCTCCTCTCCTCTCCTCTCCTCTCCTCTCCTCTCCTCTCCTCTCCTCTCCTCTCCTCTCCTCTCCTCTCCTCTCCTCTCCTCTCCTCT